GAGCGCGTTGCGGGAACGCCTCCGGGAGCGCGGTGTGCGGGAGCGCGGTGTGCGGGAGCGCGGTGTGCGGGAGCGCGGTGTGCGGGAGCGCGGTGTGCGGGAGCGCGGTGCGCGGGAGAGCATGAACGGCATGGCCCGACGACAAGGGCAAGGCTAATCTCACCGCGCATCGATTCTCGCCCGAGTCGATAGTCTCGCGCGGCACGCCATGCGCGACTTAGGGACACGTACGTACGTGTCCGGCTGTCCGGCTGCGGCGCGGCAACGCCTCGAAATAAATTAGTGCAGACGCCGCTGCAATTAGGGGCGGCCCCGCTCGCCTCGTTTAGTCGTCGTGCGCCAGTCGCTGCGGCTCCGGGGGGTTGTACCCCTCCCCCACCCACCTGGCTGTGTGTGGACTGGAAGCTCATGAATGTTAAACTGCGTCTGCAGATTGAATAATCCCGGTGCTAAGCGGCGAGATGGTAAGTGGCTGGGCGGGCCGTGGCGTGGGCCGTGCTGCACGCCAGGCGGGCGCTACCGATACGGCCCACGTGGACAGGTACCGGCTCCATGAGAGCTGCGCCACGTGTTGCCCCGCACGCGCACGAGCCCGGCGCTCGCACCGCCGTGACATGCCCACGTGGCGCCCCGCCAGCCCCCGACCACACTATACCCCGCCAACCGTTTGACTCGAGAAGAGAAGCCTGTGGGCCCGAAGCGGCCCGAAGCCCCATAGCGCGGTGCGGCCGGCACGGGCCGCGAGACTGTCAAAGGAATCCGCTTAGCGCCTCGGTGGCCGGAGCGCTGTAGCAGCTCCACGGCCACTTGGCGCGGGCGGTGAGGGGGCGGCGTGGCGGGGGTGGCGCTTGCAGGGAACGCGACGCGCTGCGCCGGATTAGCATAATGATCGGCCCTTCCCCAATGAGGGTGATCCTAACGCCGCGCGCCGCGCCGGCCCCCGGGGGCGCCCTTGTCTGCAGCGACACGACCCAAAAGGCTCTGCGCGCCGCGCCGCCCGCTGCAAATAGGACCGGCTCGCGCTGCAAATAGGAGCACTAACCGCGCCGTGCGCTGCGGCGCGACGAGGACGCCGAACGGTAGTAAAGCGTTCTGCCGAAGTCGCAGCCATTAGCCGCACACGAAAAAAGAAAATGATACCCTGTCGCGGTGATCAAACTTGCTGTTCGATAGAATTAAGTCGACCACGGCGCAAAGTTTCTTCTGATCGTCGAGGTCATTTTATGCACTTCAAGGACGGGTGTGGATCAAACTGCAAGATCCAGCAAGACCTGGAAGTCTCAGTCTCTGCCTCAAAACCCCCGCTTTTAAGTGTTTTTAAGGGCTTCAAGACAGTCTGAGACTTCAAGGGTGGAGTTTTCCAACTGTCCTTAAATTCACCAAAGAACCTCAAATTTCAAAACGCATACTTTTTTTATGTCGTGATATTCGAAGCTTCTCTCCCAGTCCATGCCTTTGCCTTCTTTCGTTGTGTTTTGTTGCAATGGCCGCTCATCGAAAATGTGTTAAGCGTCAACTATATATATTTGCGGCACAGCAGAGGGCGCTTACGCGGAATGGGTCGTCACTTTGATCGCGGCGGTTCTTTCTACCGCGCGCTGGCCGCACGTGAAGGCTGCCAAGGCTATCTCACTTTGACAGGCGTTTGTAAGCTGGTCAGCTTACCCTTCGTCCTGGATCCCGTTGTACTAACTTTCAGCCACACGGGCGTGTGTGTGTGTGTGTGTGTGCGGTGGGGAGGAGGGGGAGAACGGACGCGCTAGGTGGCCGAGTCGGGGTGGCCGGCAGGCTCAACATGTTGAAAGCTTGCTGAGGCCTTACAGCTCTAATCTGGTGCGTAAGCCCTTGGCGCCCTCCGGCTGCGGAGCCGACCAGGGCCGACCTCAGTGGCCCGATCCGCGCTCCCGCACGAAAAGCAGCCTGTGCGACCCCCGTGACTCTAGTGCCGCGCCGAAGCCGCGGTGATCACGCAACGTCACTGCTGACCGCGGGCAGATGATGGCGGCAAATCTATTCCGGTCATTCAAATGGCCTGTCTACCGACGCAGCCCCCCCCCCTCCTCCCGCGTGGGCCACCGCCCAGGCGAGAAGGCGTCCTGCCAATCAAATCAAACTTCCATTTGGCAACTCGGCCTCGGCTTGCTCACTGCAGCAGGGCGGGGGGCGCGCCAGCCGGGGCCGGGGCCCCGCCCGGCCGCCCGGCGCCCAGTACACGTTTCTATCTCCCTGTCCCTTCTGTCTCATGAGCCTCTGTCGATCGCGACTGCCCCATTATGGGAAGCCAGGCTCGCTCCGCTGTGCTCCGCTCCGGGCCACCCCGGGCCCCCCAGACGTGGGCAGGGCGGGCGTGGGGTGGTCAGCGAGCCGGACCGGGTGGGGCCGGGGCTGAGTGGGCCACCCGCCACGACCACCAGGGCCACTGCGGCGACAGCCCCCTCCTCTGCAACACTGTCACAAGCAGGGCCAGGCCGGGGCGAAGAGACGGGATCGGGTTCCCGCGCGCTTGACCCGCGACCCGCATCGCGTCCGGCGCGTGCAGCCTCAGCAGCGCGGGACCGTCGCGGCCCTCTATTCGCCCCGCCGCATCAAGCGCCGCGACGGACTCGGCTATGCGGTGGGGTTCTCGTTTTTTGCATTCTCAAGGCAATTGCCGCCTTTCCTTTTGTTTTGGCGACGGGCGCGGTGTGATCAGCAAGCACGTCCACGGCCCGGGGCTGGAGGGAGGAGGGGGGGAGGGCGGAGAAGGGGTTGAAGCCGTGCCCATCTGATTGCGAGGGCTGTCCTCCGCCTCCGCGGAAGACTCATTGTCTTGCTCGACCGTCGCCCTCCCCTCCGGAGCGGATCCCGCTGTACGCCCTCCACACTCTCCACGCCAGCACGTCCTGCCCCCGCCCCCCTCCTCGCACGTGCTCGTCTGCCCGCGTCCCCCGCATGCCTCGCTCACGCGCGTGACCTATCCGACCGACTCCAGAGTGTGACGGCAGCAGCTCGGAGTGAAATGATGGTCGCGAGTGTATGAATGTGGGTCGTGACCGCCGCGTCCGAGCTGGCGGGGCTGGTCGCCCCCCCCCCCTCTGCGTTCGCGGCTTCATAAAAACGGCGTCAAAAGCGAGTGCGCTGCTTGATAAGCGTTTCGAAGTGGCCCCCGAGCCGGGCGGGACCAGCGCGACTGCCAGGCCAGGCGCCAGGCGGGCTCGGGTGACACGCTACCTCACCGCACCACTCCACGCCAAGAGTACGCTACACCACACGATGCCACGCTACGCCACGACGGGCCGCGTTCACACAAGTGAGGAAAGGCGAGAAAAGCGACGAGAAGGCAGGCAGAAAAAGAAGGTGCCACACGGTCACACCGAGAACTGACAGCGACAAAGGGGCGGGGCCGGGGCCGGGGGAGGAGCGAGGCCCCAGATCGTCCGGCGGCGCCCAGCACCGAGCCGCGCCGTGCCCCGCGGGCGCCCGCTACATAAAAAAAAGTGCAACCGTAAAACGAGATTAGATTTTACTCGGTGGGATCCGTGAGGTTCCACTGCAGGAGGAGAGGGGGCGGAAGGGTGCCCCCGATGTAGGAAGTGAAGGGGTGGGAGGGCAAAAAGGGCCGGGCGAATCGCACAAATATTTCAAGGCGCGCCCAGGGTGCTGGGCCGGGGCCACCATTTGCCTGTGGACTGTGAAGCCGTGGGTACGGTTGGTGGCGGGGCAGTGAAGAAGATATGAAGTCACCCCCCACCCTCCCCTGCCCGCCTGCGACCCACAGTCATCCCATTGCTCGGGGGCCCCGCCGGCCCCCCGCTGCCATGGTACTGCTCTTATTTCTTAGTCCCTTCCGCTCCACAAGGGTGCCTCCGAGAAAGGCGGCAGCAGAGGCCGCTTTAGCTCCCTGACAAGTCGCCGATGAACCGCCCCCCTACCCCCTCTCTTTGTTTGCCGCGCCACCCATCCACGCCTTTCTCCATTATTTTTATATAGTCTGGAAAAAAAATGGAGGAATGAAAAACAGTCTGTTGTCCCACGCAAACGAGATACGCCACCATGAAATAATGAGAGCGGGCCGATATTTATTGACGGTGAGTTCAATTTCCCCGGAGCCAGGTGCTTCGGCCGCGCCGCTGCAAGACGCGGCCTGGCTAGCGCGCTGCGCCGCGAATTAACTATCAACAATTCAGTTACGGCCGCGGCTGTGTTTGCGTTCGGACCCTCTCACGCGGCGCCCCACCCCACCCT